CTATTGACGCATATGGATTCGCTAGCCCCGTAAAACAGCAAAAATGCAAATACCTTCAGAGATTTGACGTGGTACAAAGCAAAACAGCTCTGAATCAAAAATAGCTGTTAAACGTATAAATAAAAGGCGTGGTAGGAAACACGACAGTGAGCTGCTTTCTGAGGATAACTGCTGTTTTATGCTTAAAAGTATACTATCCTTCCTGGTATCTATCGTTTTGGAACATTGACTATACGATCCGTGAGATACTTGATACACACTGTATTAGGCACTCGTGGTGACTAGTGGAGTGATGCAGGGCTGCGTCCTCGCGCCTACCATCTTCAGTCTTTTGTTCTCTGCAATGCTGATGGACGCCTACCGTAAAGAACGTCCCGGGGTCCGCATCGCCTACAGGACGACATCCAACTCCTTAACCATTGGCGGATGTACTTCCAGTCGCCTGTTTCCACAAGCACCGTCCATGAACTTCTCTTCGCCGACATCTGCGCCCTTAACGCCTCCCTGGAAATGGACATGCAAAGATGCATGGACCTCTTGGGCACCGCCTGCGATAACTGCGGCCTAGTCCTCAACACGGAGAATACGGTGGTTGTGCATCAAATTACGCCCAGCACTGCCTCCAACGCACCCCAAATCAACGTGAACGGCGCCCTCTTCGAAGCCATGGACAACTGCACATACGTGGCTGCACTCTCATTCTCCACACCAATATCGTTGATGAACTGACCTGCCGGATTTCCAAAGCTAGCCAAGGCTTCGGTCGCATGCAAAACAGAGTTTAGAACCGTCACGGTTTGCATCTCAACACCAAGCTGGAGATATGCAAGGCAGTCATCCTGACGATGCTGCTGTATGCATCAGAAACCTGGACGGCCTACAAGAAGCAGGCGCGAAGACTCAATCCGTTCAACATCAGCTGCCTTCGTCGGATATTGAAGCTGATGTGGCTGGACCGGATTCTGGACACGGCAGTTCTGAGGAGGACAGAAATTTTCAGCATCTACACCATTCTGAAACAGCAAAAAACTGCACTGCTCATGCGGATAGACGACGAGCGGTCACCTAAATGGCTTTTCTATAGAGATATCACCACGGGTTTTCGCCGACAAGGGGGACACGTCTGGAGCTACAAGGACACCCTGATGCTTTCCCTGAAACGCCTGAAAATCAACCCGCTTAAATGGAAAGACCTCACCCGGCACCGACCGACCTAGCGGAGAACGGTGAATACAGGCGCAGCAATCTACGAAAACAACCGCATCGCCGCCTCCAAAGCCAAACGCGTAACTCGCATATTTCAACTGCCCCCGCTTCGCAACGCCAAAAATCAACCGCCCACGACCTGCCGACGATGCCAGCGGAGGTTCCGAGCACTAATCGGTCTCATTGAACATCATCGAACCAACTGCAGTACCAGAACGACACAACTCGATATCCCGCAGTCCACCTCCACCTCGCCCCCATGTGGACAATTAACACTGACCGCACTCCCGAACCCCCACTGCCATCCTCCTCCATCGCCTCAACATTGCTGTGACGGCTACTGCATCCGCCGCCACTGCGATCAACCCTTACACACCAAAAAACATTAAACTCATCACCGCAAACACCGGTAATATGGACTCGATCCAAACCTGTTCACGTGGCGATCACACCTTAATCTCACTCATCGGCCTGGCCGGTTACTTGCGAATTCGTCGCACAACCGTCGTCTTCACCAAGCCATCACATCTTCCCCTACTAACACACGCACACAAATCAACGTCATTCATCCCAATCGTCCAACTGCCACCTCCCGCGCATGTGCCTCTCGGCTCCATCGCCATGCGGTTCGAATGTTGCATGTATGATCCGAGTTCGAGACTGTCCCGGTGCGGATACCACCGTGGCTTGGGAGGGTGCTGTCTGACGCCCCACCTCAGTCCATGCAGTCTGCCCAGTTATGTGTATGTTTGGAGTGGCGGACTGGTGGGCTGAGTGTCTGGATTAGACGTCTTCTTCTGAACCTGACCTACGGCGCTCTCAAGCATGTGAGATGCACGCCACTCAATCTCCCGTTGTGTGAGATCGTGGTGCTTGTGTTTTGGGGGCCAGGTCATGCATGTGGCGCGCGCAGACAAGGTTGTCCATCCTCAGTACTTGGATCGTTGAACAATGCTCATTGAATTTGTGTGTTTACAAACTACGTTCCCTAAGAAGTCAGTAGGACGAGGTGTTGATCGTTTTGAACAAGCAGAAACTGCTGCAAGCCTATGCACTGTTTACTAACCGTCATTGCATCTGCCCATAACTACTGGTAGAGACTATGATCAAGACTTCATACATCGATCGCAGTTGTACGCTAAGGCAGCGACCCCATCAAATTACCTCCCTACTACTTCTGTCCCGCAAGAAATCTGAAAGCGCATGCGCGGCAGTGAACGACATGCCTTTTTGTCCTTTTTCCACTGCAGTGCACATTTCCTTTTAACAGTTATTTATCTTAAAAGTGTACAGGGTAACTCCCTTCTAGAGGCGATTAGAGAAGCGAACATCGAACATGTTGTGTCTATGGCTGACATGGATTACGCACCATAACAATCCGTTTTGCTGACGAGACTATGCACAGTGAGACATTGACCTTATATAATATTTACCAAAATTCGGAATTGTGTTTTCAGTTAAAAGGGATTGCTTAGGCGGGGTTGTAATAACGGTTCGATCGTCGCGACCAACAAGGTCCGACGTGTGCTCCAACACAGGCGTAGGGCAATCACTGTGACTTGCGCGTGAATCGCTTTATAGTGATAGAAGACTTGCGCAGCATCTACCCCACTCTCTCCTCCCCCCCTTTAAGGCATATTTAAGAAAACCGGAAGTGAATGAGGGCTCAGGTGGCTGACACGGCCGGATCCGCGCCTAGGCGTACTACCACATCTGTTAGTCCACAACGAACACTAAACCAGGAATTTAGTCAAAAACACAACAACAGGGATCAGGAGGAGGAGGAGGAGGAGGAGGAGGAGGAGGAGGGGGATGACTGGGCAGTCATGCTCAAGACCTGTATACTCAGCGGGAGCGTAAGCGCATCTATCGGCAGGGAGCCAGATGCTAGAGACCTGAGAGCGCGCACACCAGGCTTCGAAAGCCACGTTCTGTTGAATTCTGACATAACAGGCGCACGCAAACTTTAAGGCCCAGAATATGGCACACAGGCCTGCTCTGAGCCTATACCAACACCAAGTTCGCGCATTGATTTCCTCGGAAATTAAACAAGGCAAGCCGAAACTGGAGTTCATATACCAGAAAACACAGAGGGAAAGCTGGGAGACCCACTGACGAGCCGAATCCCTCGCAGCTGCTTCAGGCAGCGGCATAAGATCGACAAAACACGCGTGTCTGGACTTTTAGCTAATACCTGTGTTGTTAGTACGGTAAATCATTGCCCAGCTCTATATCAATACCCTTCAAATTCAGGAATATCGATAGTAGTGAAAATGAGATTACAAACTGCCATTTTAAAAGACGAAATGACCTTCATCTTGAGAGGTTTAATGGAGGTTCGACGTCTCGAGTGGTTATTTCGCTTCCCATTTTTAGAGACCAGAAAGTATTGCACACAGCGGGTCGGATACGGCCACAAAGGCGGCATTGGCGGATTACGCATCAAACAATGTGCGCATGGAGCGGTTCTAGACGCACTGACCCACAGCCAAAACACCAACTTCAACTCCGTAGCACGTTCATTCAGATGGTCGCAGTTGCTCATGCGTCACATGGTTTCACCAACTTTCCACCCCATGCGAGTGCAACAAGTAACCTAAGTCCCTGGGACAGCACACCTCGGCAAATACAACATTCACCGATTGAAGACCACTTAGGCGTGACCGATGAGCCTACAAAAATGGCTGCCAAAACTGATCCAGAAACTGTCGGGTATGACTGGACGCAGTCAACAGTGACTCTGTCTACACCAAGGGCCAATGCCGTCTGAAGGGAGAATTAAGGGTACTTTGTACAAAAAACCCGCAATCTGATGAAGTTGTCTTTTCCTACAGCTCGGCACCTGACGTGATCTTTGTAGCTCTCGGACTGCTCTCCCACTGCGTAGATACCTTAAACCTAATCCTTAATCTAACCATAAACTTGAATCTAACCCTAGCTTTACTAGAAGTTGGTTCGAACTTGCCCGTATGGCAGATGGTTTCTGTTATTATGACCTGTTCAGTGGACTATATAGAAATCAGTCTTACCAAGTTTTGTCTCAAGAAAATGTATAGCCAATTTCCAGTGTATGCATTGCAACCTGGAATAAGTGGTCACGCTTCCTCGCTGCCATTTGCTGTTCGTGTGTGTGTAGAGACCGACTTTCCGTTTTGGCCACAGTACAATGTACCACAAGTGTCGCACCAAGTCTCGCAGATGACATCTGTCATTAGGGCCTATGAGCTGGTTCCGTTAAAGTGTCACTCATTTGTGCATCAATTGCACTTGATATTGCATCAGGTGTCTTTCAACGAGTTCGGGCGCGATTTTAAAGTACGGAAATGCTCTCCAGTTTTTCGGCTCGGGCGCTGGGTCGAAACAATGTAGTACCCTGTTTTTTTAATTTCTGTTGTCTCATGCATCGACGTTTAAGAACCTTCGGTTATCCATTGTGGGAAAGGCGTCTGAACATAGATTAAGTAATTTAGAGAAAACGCGCGAAAAATATATGCATTCTTGTTCGCTTTTTATAACGAATATCTTCTGCGTCAAACTGCCCACCTAAAAATAAAACCTTTACTTTGACAAGGTTTGAGTTTATGATGTCATATCCCAATATTGGCTGACTTTATAATGAGGAATAAAGGTTAGTAATTGACCGAATGTATCATGTTAAGCGTTCTTTTACGGAAGGGCTCTGAGAGACCTCTGTCAGTTTACGAAGTGTCAAAAGGTCTCGACTTTTAAGCACAAATTCAACATTCCGACATGTCGCCCAATGCGGCAGAGATATCAGGAAGCTACATTTAGCCAGTAGTCTTAATGAAATTCCTTCGATCAGGTACGTGGATAACTGGACTACAATTGCTCTTAGTACGCTGCAATCGCTTGCGAGGAGTGTCTTGCATGTTATTTCGTAGTGCACGACAATATAGCTCAAACCGAAATTAGGAATAGGGTTTATCGACCAATCGCACTGAGAAGGTTCGTGATCTGTCTGTTTCAATTTATAGTTCAAATTTTATTTTTATTATGGTCTCAAAAAATGCCTTATGGGAAGAAACAATTTGCCCTCCAAAGAAGTATTATTTAGGGAGAAGGAGACATGGGTTTCTAAATGGCTTATTTCAAAATTCAAGTAGCGTGTACGCAAGCTTAGCATTAAATGCATCCATTGTAGTCTCTCATGCGCTCGAAAGACCTCTCTGTCGTCTGAGAGACACCAGTTCGACATTCAAATTAAAGCCAAACGCTGGAATCACCAACTGATGTTTGAGGCGCCTGATGCGATGTGTTGTTTGACACATTCAACCCAACGAGGCAAACTATAATGTCGTACTAACCGCACAATGCTTATCAAAAATTGTCATGAATCGTTTAAGTTACGTAAATGGTTGTCGTTTTACCTGGCGTCAAGTTGTTAGCATATCATCTCCGACGTTCACACGACCTTGAAGGCAGCGGTCGCACGTTTTTGGGCAGGGAGTAAACGATCTCGGTTCATCAGTGTGAAGTGAAAAGATGTGAGGGTATAAAATGTGATCTTAAAACACATCGCAGTGTTTAGAAAAACGAATGGATTTTCAATGGTTATCTGAGTAATACCGGGTTTAAGGAGATATGCTAATTATATACACCGCCCAGCGCTTGTTGAACTATAAGCCGTTCGAAGACGGTCCTCCTCTTTATCCGGCAACACAAGTCAGAATACACGTGGTGATAGGGAAA